TATACTTATTATTAATGATAAAAAAAATTAATAAATAAAAAATTTTATTTAGATTACTACAAGTGCGTTTTTTCTGAACCACATGAGACACTGTAAAGGTTAAGTATTTCATATAAATATTAGATATTATTGACTGCAACATGCCTTGGASCTGCATGACAAAACCTTTTTTAGACCAGCGAAGTTAAAATACCAAATATTATATGTATATAAGTAAGTTACAAAGATCTTGGTAGGATGAAACCAATGGAAACGAAGGGTTAAATGAACAAAACTAAAGGAAAAAAAATTAGAAAGGGCCAAGTTCGAGTGCAACCGAATATTTATACTCTTGCAACTTTCTAGAACCAGAGAAACGGAATCTAAGCAATTATATATACAATATACATATACATACTCTATATAACTCATACACTTATCGACAAATTCAGCATAAGATTTGTTAGAAAAACGAAGATCATCATACGTAGTACTTATATGGAAGTTGGGGTAGTATCGACCCGATTTTATCTACTAACTAGATATTATCATTCTACATACTAAAAATTGTTACGTGGGTTTCATTAAGCTACCTCACACTACCAATACACCAAAAACTAAACGTTTATGGACAAAATGTTCAAATTAAAAAGTTTTGGACTCGAAATAAATAGAGAAATACCGGGAAATCCTCTCACACTCCATTTCAACACCCTCATTTAAGATCACCCTCATTTCATCATGGGACATACACACGGGCCGGAAACAGGAACAGTTCACCGAGCGGAAATGAAATAACGGTAATATACTTCCGGTCCCAGACTCAAACCGGAAGTCACACACCGGAAACGGATGTATTTTACCGGAAGTTGTTAACCGGATACATTTTTGACCGCCCCGAAACCCTAACTGGAAGCAATTACTACCGTTTTCCAACATCCCGGCCGGAAATGGAAAACTCTAACCGGATGTTAGAAACCGGAAGTCAAATCAACGAAAATGAAAGTTACATCCGTTTCTGGTTTGTGTCTTCCGGTTTGAGTCTGGGACCGGAAGTGCGGTACCGTTATTTCATTTCCGCTCGGTGACCTGTTCCTGTTTCCGGCCCGTGTGTACGTCGCGCCTCCGTGTCCCCAATTTGGCCCCTTTGCGTATGCAACGCCCCACACAAACTTTTGGTGCATCCGCCGCCGCTGCAGAAAAAATGCATTCAATTTGGGGCCAAAATCTCAGATTTCTACCAGGCGACCAAAAGCAAGTAGCAAGCAGCCGCTGAATACAAGCGAATACAAAAATGCTTATAACTTCTAAACTACTAGTTGCAGAGAAAATTAAAAACTGCAGAAATTTGCAGAATCGTATGGGGCATTTTCTGATTACATAAATTTTAAATTTGGATTTACACAGAAATTTAGAAAAATAAAAACATGTACCAAATCGCCGGTTTTTGAGGAGAAAATCGTCGAAATGATTCTGTCTCCTAAGTGAGGGTGTTGAAATGGAGTGTGGGAGTATTTCCCGGTATTTCTCTATTTATTCCGAGTCCAAAACTAAAAAATTCGAACATTTTGTTTATAAGCGATTAGTTTTTTGTTTAATAATTCTTTTTGACAATTAGGCGGTCCAGATGTGATATATGTATTTAGATGCCTTAAACATTTATGTTTAAATTTTCAAGAGAAGCTCTCCTCAGCTCTCTCTTCGCTTCCCTTAATGCCTGTTCGCTCCCTTTAATGCATGTTGGCTCTTAAAATTTTTATTCTTCATATTTTACTCTCTATATAGTGTCTGAAAGATATGTATGTTCCGAAGTAGGATCCTAAGTTCACTTATGGATGGAAAAAATTCCTATTTTTGCTATCCATCGCTTCGAATCGAAAAATACTGTCAGTCACACTCTTTCATTCTGTGAATACTCCTGCAACCTGTTACTACAGAGTAATACAGTTTTGTTCACCTAATGGTTGTATGTATTAGGTTGCCCCAAACTTAGCTTTTTCTTACTTGTTTCTAATTTGCTTTTTATATTTTACTTGAAGTAAATTATTCGTAGCTCAAATAGATTTCTAGGAATTCAGCAGCTGTTCGGAAATTTAAATTCCTATCTTCACTTTGTTCAAACTCAAATAAGAACTTAAAGCATTCTTATCACTCACGTTATCAAATATTTACTCATCTGAAATGTCGCATTAAGAACACCTTGAAGGCAAAGAAAACGTGTTTGAAGTACTCATGGCAACATTTTATTCGCATATGAGCAAATTATGCTGAAATCAAAATTTGCGTATGTGCACACACACTTTACCTACACATATAAATATGTACATAGGTATGTTTATTTAATTAATATATAGTATATTTAAGTATAGGTATGTATGCATGGCTGCCGCGGTTAACAGACACTTGAGTGCAAACAATCAAATCAAATTAGATGTTTTCAAATTTCCAGAACCTAATGACGTTCACGCGGACGTCATCACTACGTTATGTTATAAGCTCACTGTTTTTCTAATGTTGGCACAAGTTGACAACAAGAGCAAATGCAATTACTTATTACGTGTAATCTCAGGGCCGTAGCAAGGAAGCAGATGACCGAGGATGATTGTAGTGAATTTTTGGAGAAAAGAATTGCTAAAATTGTTGCAAAACACCGTTCTACCTGAGAAAACCGTTTACAAAAGGAATTGTTCCCAATCTCCCCGATTCACTGTGTATTCTACATATGTTATGCTATCAAAAATTTCCCTCTGAGTTCCAATAAGGTACCCCCATATGTTGACCAGTAAATAATGTGTAAAATCAATTTGACCGACCGCTTTTTCTTTCTTTCCTGACCCTCCCCGTTTGCCAATGACGTCTACATCGTGTATTTTGTTGCAGCCTTGCCGAATGGCTTGAATCTGGTCAATACTTCCCTTAACACCTTATATATATTATAAAGATTTTCATACTTCCGCGTGACTTTATACCACATATATCGGCTGAAATGTGGGTTATCTCAATGAAAATGAGGGAGCGTGTTGCATTATAGTGAATCTTTGTTCCTAAAATGTCTAAAATCGAGTGAAAAATTGACAAAGACCCCATATAACTAATAAACTTATGCATCTGAAGGTATATCCCAAGCTTTGATTCTTGCAAGTTTCAAGAATATAAAATAAGGTTAAGTTAGGTTAGTCTAGCAGGCCAATGAGCCACGCACAGACCAGTTTTTATTCTTTGCGATACCAGTTGAAGTCTTTTAGGATGCCTTCGCTTGACGTGAATTTCAACAGACTCTGTGGCCTTACTATTGACATCTCCTCCAGTGTGTCATACTATAGGAATCGCTTACTTACTTGCCTAATTATGTTCCTACAGTCGCTCTATCGAGTGTCAATAGGATTTTTTCTACTTCCAATCTAACGTTTTGCACAGAACTCTTACAGTTATTATCACAGGTAGCTCGTTCTATCCGGTTTTGATTTATTTTACTATGCTTATGTACAGATAACAGTTAGAGTGGTGCTGTCACGACACTTTTTGTAGATAATTCTTCTGCAAAGGCGTAGCACATTATTTTGTTATTTAATCAATAGTATTCGCAGCATACGCTATGTAAGGAATTTTTAGGTAATTTTTTATATGGTAGTCGAAAAATGCTTTTCGTATGTTTTTTTTTTCAACTTACCCGAATTAAATTTTTTTTTTGTTTTGTTAAATGAAGCTTAAATCTCACCTTTCCAATTCTGTATGGGATGACAGAATGAGATTGGTAGGTAGCAATGGAGATATATGACTGCAATGACATCTATTGGCAAAATACGAAAAAACTTTTTTCGACTATCAAATATTTTAGTATAATACAGGAGAAAGCACTGGAGAGAGAGTAGATTTCGAATAATGAAATAGTTTTTTCAATTTCGTCAAGTAGTTTCAGAGCCCTTTCAGTTCAAAAAAAATTTTTTTTCACTTTATATAAAATTTGAATAAATAACTGTATTGAAACGATGGAAAGAGAAACAAGTTTTAGTTTTTTGCTTTTCTTTGCCTAATACTTTGTGTTTTATTACTTTATCAATGGCTGAAAGTACAGTAGGACAAGAAATTGTGTATACTATATTATCAATATTTTTTTGTTTATCGACTTCATCTTATTAAAAACGTTCACTACAAAGATCTCTAAATATAATTAGTTTGTATAGTAAATATTTCATAGGTAATAACTTGCGTCTTGCATTTTAATGCACTAAAACTGCTATGCTATTATATAATACGTGTTAATAGTAATAATAAAAAAAATACCAGTAATTATAATAATAATAATAGTAATAATAATAATATACAAAGCTGTCTCTTATACACATCTAGATGTGTATAAGAGACAGGTAAATATTTCATAGGTAATAACTTGCGTCTTGCATTTTAATGCACTAAAACTGCTATGCTATTATATAATACGTGTTAATAGTAATAATAAAAAAAATACCAGTAATTATAATAATAATAATAGTAATAATAATAATATACAAAGTATAAAAACCAATTTGGATTTCATAAAAAATTACACCCCAACAACAGTTGAATAACTAAAAAACGGTAAGCAAACATTAAACATAAAAAACGCTTGTCGAGGCACAAATAATTAATATGTATTTATGCACCGTTGCAGTGCAAAGTTGCCATTTTATTTAAGCAGAGAAATTTTGAATTTTCACTTTATGCGCTAAATTTTGACGGCACATACGCAACATACATACATACAAACACGACTAAAAATAAACGCGAATAAAAGCGCACAATTGCGTATGCCGGCGTATACCTAATTAGTTACAGTTGGTTAAATAAGTATGTGTACTTGGTATACTTGTATGTGTGTGGGTAGTTGGCTTATCTAAGCATGCCCAAAATAAATATCAAACTTTTATGTTTTTATACGCTTGCAAATGTTATTGTAAAAGTCCCATAAACGTCATTTAATTGACGGCTCTAAGCGTCGGCTGCGTATGTGTATGTATATATAAGTAATTATCTGTCTTTCGTTACACATTTATTCTTGTCCATTTGATTGCGTGGCATTTTGTATTTTCGCATTATTTGCAGTTTCGGTATTTAGACACTTGGGTGGTTGCAGTAGGTCTGTGTACTGCAGCAACGCTTCACGCAACGAGCGCGACACCTCTGGCGATGTCGTCGTGGTACAGTCAACGAGATACGGATATAGACCGATAAGCTGGTCCCACGCCGGCTTATTTACTAATATGAAAGCAATTGAAATTAAAATAATTGAAATTTTTATTTTAGAGTTTTTTTACCCTTCGATGGCGGTGCTTTTTTCATAGAGACGACTAATGTGGCGATTGCCTTTAGCACGAAGGAAATTTCCGAAAGGCGGAATCTGAAAGCGATTACATAGCAAACAATACAATTAAAATTTTTATTTTCTGTTATATAAAAACATAATATTATTGTCATAAATATAATTCGCTAGAAATTAATTGGACTGAAATTATCCTATCTGACAGCTGAAGATCAAACAAATAACTTTTGCTCTCGCAATAAAACCAACTTTGGTGCTGTCTGTGTTAAAATCGACGAGGAGGTTGTGTGTCGATCTTCCTTTCAGTGTTTGGTTTTGGCACATGGTGAAAATATGGTCGATTGTATATTGTCCAGGTATAAAGCTACACTGATAAGATCCAATCAGTTTGTTGACGTCGGACTTTAGTCTTTCACACAGCATGCTCGATAGAACACTATATGCGATGTTGAGGAGGCTTATTCCACGTTAGTTGGCGCAGTTTGTGAGGTCTACATTTTTGTAGATTGGGCAGCTTTTGTCCGACCATATTCTACAAAGAAGCTGATGCATGCCGGCAATCCATAGGCCCCCGCCGCTCTGTTGTTCTTCAGGCGGTTAATTGCTATTCGAACTTCTTTTTAGTCGGGCAATGGAACGTCTGCTACATTGTCATCGATTGGGGAATCGGGTTCACCATCTCCTGGCTTTCGCTGCCATTCAGCAGGCTGGAGAAGTGCTCCCTCCATAATTTTAGTATGCTGTGGACATCAGTCAAGAGATTACCTCTGGGTGTTCTACAAGAGTATATTCCGTTTTGAAGCCTTCTGTTAGTCGCCACTTTCTTTTGTAGAATTTTCGAGTATTACCCTTCGCAGCCAGGTTGTCAAGGTCTACGTACTCACGCATATCCTAGTACTACTTGTATTGTCTGGAAATGCGTTTCGCTTCCCTCTACAGCTCTCGGTACCTATACCATTCAGCACGTGTTATGGTCGATTGTAACGTTGCAAGGTAGGCAGTCTGTTTTCTCTCCACTGCGACACCTCGTTCCTCTTCGTACCAGCTGTTCTTTTGCATTTTCCGAAAACCAATGGTTTATTTTACGTACGTAAGGAGTTTGAAAGCCGTCTCATAGTTCTCTTATACGCAGTTGCTGACTAGGCTCTCAGAGAGCAGGAATGAAGTCGAGTAGAAAATGTTTATTGTGTCAAACCTTCCTAGTGTTTCTTGACTCTCCGAGTTTCATACCATCATCGAAATATAAGGAATTAGGTCAGATGTTAGAAACTCTTACTGTTAGTTATTAATTTTAGAATAATATTACCCATTGATTTTTTTTTTTTTTTGTAAACGGTCGAGTGAGCAAGGTTATAATCCGATTTAACAATTTTCATAGAGCGAGAAGAGATGCCAGAAAGATATACCCTCAACGGCTTTGGTTTTTATAGCATGAATGGTGTTGGAGATATTTCTCAGAGAATTTGTAAGACCCAGAAGTCTAGGTCCTCAGTCCTGTCTCCTTAAAAAGCAATTTGTCAAAACTGCCGATATCGAACAACTATAGCTTATAACTGCTATACAAACTGAACGGTCAAAAATATATGATTTTATGCTATAAAAATGCATCGCTGAAGATTATTATAGCTTCGGTTTAACACCTTCGGCCTCCGGCCACGAACACGCTCTGGATCATAATCCTTAGTGAGCAGAATTCTCTTTCTGTTCTTCGATAAAATATTTTTCACATGTCGGCATTTTGGTTTGTCGCTGTTTTGATTTGTCGGTATTTTGATTGGTCGGTCTTTTGACTTGTCGGTATTTTGATTTAGCTGCATATTTAAATTTTGTCGGTATTTTGATGTGTCGGCATTTTGAACTTCGGTATTTTAAGTGTATCCCGATATTTATAATATCACAAGAATTTTCACGCATAACCACTTAATATTGATATTAATCGCACACTACATACCTTGGCAGGGGGCATTTGCCGCTCTGTCGTTCGTCATCGTTGAAACGCTTCAAGACCTCCTGGAATCGATGTAACAAAGCAGTAACCGCTAAGCGGCCGGCAAAATCCTTGCCACTGCCGAGCATATTCGAATTCAATGTTGCATTAATGCCCGCCACCGTTGCCGATGCCGCCGTTAAGCTGTTGCGATTGTTGTTGCAAGTGTCGTCCAGCAGCGAGAATTGCAAGAGCGTTTCAAAGCAGGTCTTAGCGAAGATTTCACGTAATTTCCAATCAGATTCATAACAAATATTCGAGTCAGATGCGGAATGTATGGAACCTTTGTTGAGTAGCACAACAATTTGCATTATGAATTGATGCGGCATTTCGTGAGCGTGCGGCAGCACCTCGTCACGCAACAGTTCGATGACCTGACAATCAATTGTTTCGTCCAGCACAATTTCCTCCAGGCCACGATCTTCAATTGTACAAACGCTACGCAAAGCAAAAGTTAATTAATTAATTTTAAATTGACAACGACGATTAATAACGAGGCGAAAGTGGGTGTGTGTATGTGTGCGTTTACTCACCTTGCAGGAAAGAGAAATTTATCAAATGTGTCGGCCAAGTCATCCCACATGCCGGTGAAATAGTTGGGTTTGGCGCGTGCCACCTTCAGGCCGGTATGTAGGACGGTAATCAAACTCGAGATTGCCAATTTCCATGTGCTGGACGAAAGACACTTGTACTTCATGGCGAGCGGAGTGCGCAGTGCCTGTGTGGAGTGGAAATTTCCATATATATAAATTTAATGGCTGCAGATCACGTTAGTGCTCACCTTGATAATTTCATGTAAAATATTTTCATGCATGACGCACTCCTCCGTAGCGGTACTTTGATACAATTTCACGCATATACTAATGGACTTCTCGCCAAACGGTATGAAATTCATGCTGACCATTTCCACGGAAGCATTGTTTGTATAATGATTCGCTGTCTTAGCGTACTTATGTTCGACGCCTGTGTATGCAGGCGGCGCACAGGCAAACTTACTGAACACCAGTAATTGGCGGAATATAACAGGAATCATATGCTTCAAGTTGGAGCCCTCTTTGGTTGCCTCCTGCAAAAAATTGATATAAATATGAAAAAAATTAAATCTTTAAAATATATTAAAAAGAAATTATGAATACACAAAAATAAAAACATAAAAAAATACAAAAT